CATCGTTCGTCTTGCATCATGTTGAAAGATAACACTACACGACTTTCCGGGTTGCAAAAGTAATGATGCATAGCAGCAATGGACCGGAACCACCAAGCGCAGCCTGTTTCCTGGACCATCGCGATTGTCTCCATATGACGAACATTGATGTTTGGGCCGCTCGCTGTTGACAACCGGAGTGGCGTCATTGTCGTCGGCTGGCTGCAGCATTGCGCCCACATTCCCTACGACCTCTATACCGTCTTTATTAACGTCGCTAATGGCTTCAGTGATTTTTTATATCTGCTTTAATGACCTAACACGCTTTGGGAGCTTCGGGTCAATGTTTTGCAGCGTTTGGTCCGGTCAGAAACAGTCCGATTCCTCGTTGACTTTCGGGCGTGAGCTTCCTAGCAGTATCCATGGCATTAAAGTACTATGATATGGTTAATATGTATGTCTCCTGTGAGATTCTAGCGGCTTTGGCACGGACAGTCCATTTTTGGCTGGAGGAATGAACTTGCACGGTCGGAACATTATTCATTCTTAACTTTCAGGACCACGAACATTTTTTTATTCCGAATTCGGAATATATTCCGCAAAAAAATAACGCTGGATCGGGATGATTACCGCCTGCACCCCCCTTATTTTCGTCTCCTAGAGCGTCTGTTTGGGCCGTATGATGTGGATCTGTTTGCCTCGCATCTCAACACGCATGTCCCGCGTTTCTTCTCGCGTTTTCACTGCCCCGGTTCGGCCGGCGTGAACGCCTTGCTTCAGCCCTGGGGTGGTTTGAATGCTTACGGCTGCCCGCCCTTGGATCCAGACGTGTTGTTGGCCGTGGTGCAGAAGGTGCACGAAGAGAGGGTGTGCATCACTTTGGTCATGCCATACTGGACGGCGCAACCTTGGTGGCAGTTGCTGATGGAGCTGGCGGTGGACGTGGTGTTTCTCCCCTCGAACACGGAGCTGTTCGCACCGGGAGAAGGGGGGTCGAGCCGCTTCCTGCCGCCCCTGCAGTGGCAGGTGGTGACGGTGCGAGTGCAGTGATCGACTGGGCCCTCCTGCGCAGCACACGCAGTGGTACTGCCCCGGTTCCCCATTACGCATTAGACTTTCGTGCTGCGGCTGCTCCCCCGGTTGTCACGAACCTGTTAGTGGGAACCTGTTAGTGGAGCAGCTGCAGGCCGCCGCCCCAGGTCAGGACCACCCGGCTCGCCTGGAGCAGATTGCGGCCGTCATTATGTCTCGAGTAGGCTCCAAGACTTGGCAATCGTATGCGTCTCATTTGCGGCATTCATGCGTTTCTGCGTCAGTGAAGACCTTGAGTTCTTGCCGGCGTCCCGGTATACCGGGTTGTTGTGGGCACAGTACCTGGCTGCCTGTGGCTCTGTTCAGGCTCGCACCGTGCAGCCCTATTTCAGCGCGGTTAATACAGTGCACGATTTGTTAGGGCTGGCTAAGCCGTGTGATGGGGATAATGTGCTGGTTCTCGGGGTTCTGCAAGGGCTGGGAGCGGCTGCAGGTCTCGCTGGCCCCAACCTCGTCCCTTGTCCTCGCCTTCAGTGCTTCGGACGCCTGGAGGCTATACGACCGGCTCCCGTCCGTCCCGATTGCGTCGGATTTGTTTGTTCCTCTTCTGTTCGTCGTCCTTGGCTTCTGTCTATGTTTGCGTCCCGACACCTTGCTGTCTGTCGTCTGGGCGCGGGTTTCGGTTGTTGATGAGGAGCCTGTGTTTCAGTACAAGCCTTTGCACTGGAAAGGCAGTATTATGGCCCCTGCGTTGGCCCCTGTGTTGCAGTTCCCGCTGGGGGGCCTCCCGTTTCTCCGGGTTGCCCTCCTGCACAGGCTGTCCCGGGACCCTGCGTGTTTGTGGCCGGAGCGCCAGACGATGCAGGAGGCCGAGCGCTGGTTCGATCGTGTTTTGGCGCAGTGTGGCCTGGAGGGCCTTCGTTCCATCCACACCCTTTATAGTTTGCGGCGGGGTGGTGCCTCGGCCGCCCGTGCGGCAGGAGTGCCACTGGATATCATCGAAGCATTTGGTGGCTGGGCCGCAGGCTCGTCGGCGTTGTGGGAGCACTACCTCGATTTGGGGGTCCGTGGCTGCCCTCGTGCGGTCGCCTTCTTTGGCCCTCTCGCGGCCCGGCGTGTCGCGTGTACTTTAACCGCTGAGAGGGGTTGTCTTTCCTTTGGCAATAGACTCGTAGCAGGAGCTAATGCGGGCTATGCGAAGCTTGAGCCGGATTAGCTAAGGCGTAGGGCCTTACGGCCATTAAGTGATATGACTTGACGCCGGCGATCCGTGTCCTCAGGATCGCCTTTTGCATAAATAGCGCGTGATGCAGGTTTTCTGTATCTTGTTTTTGTTGATGCGAAGGGTTGCCGTGTCGCCCTGTGGCCTGTTTGGGTAACTTGTCAGACTATCGTGAGTGACAGCTGAGGCCGGTCTGAGGTCGTATGTTAGACTGAGTGACAGCTTTGGACCTGTCTCGGGAGGCCCGTCAAAACGGCTGTTAAGTTCTAGCGTACCGGTAGCTCTCGTCCTTTGGGATAGGCTTTCCAAGCCTTTATAAGTCTCTGCTGTTTATCGGTAACAGTACCTCAGATTCACACGTTTACGCCTAGGCAAAGGGGCTTTCGGTGGTAGGTC